TATGAAGGATGTCTTTGGGGTGTAACTTATTTTCCAAACATTCAACCAATTACTTGAATTGAATTGTCGTTACTGGTTTTGTTAAAATGTCAGCAACATTAAATATTCCAGATATCTTCCCTATAGCAATTATGTCCTCTTGGACTTGTTCAGTTAGTTTTGCTATTTTCAAATCTAGAAATTTATCTCTTTTTTTGGATCTGCATTCCTTCTTTTAAAACTGGATACCAGGTTTTGAGTCAGTGAATGTATTAATCTCAATATTATTTGAAACCCCATTCTGTACCTAACGATGCATCTGTGATTATCTCTATAATTGGTTTACTTTCATTTTCTCTTAGATAAATTAATTTCCGATTTTTTGTTGTGAAAAGATATTTTGATATTTTGTCAGCTATTTTTATTGATTGCTCATTTGGTGAGTTAACTAATCTTCCCAATTTATTTGCCGCGAACGCGATATCATAACGACATCTTGTCAGTATAGAGTTTATTATTCCTGACATGATTTGGAGTTTTTTGGTCATTTCCTTTTTCCTTGATTTTGATAGAATTGGGATTAGTTCATTTTTGTTATTATAACTTGACCAATGTGGAGAGTTGTCAATTTTATTTCAGTTCATCAATCCAATCATTTTTGATACCTCTTAAGTATGTTTCCAATGATAAGGATATTTCCCCCTTTGTTATGTTATAGTCTAAGTCCATTCCTAAAGTATCAGTTTTTAGAATGCCTTTTTCCATTGTACCGACTAATTTCAATTCAAAGGTTTCTTTTAGTTTGTTAATAAACCTTTTTAGTATTATGTTGTTTTTAGCAGCTATAATACAGTCAACAACATAAACGGCTATAATTATTGATTTTTCTTTGTCAATGAATAAACCTGGAGTGTATTCAGTATCGTAGAGTGAGCAATCATTTAAGTATTTTCTTAAATGATCATTCCATTCTTTGGGACTTTGTTTAAGACCGTATAAGGCCTTATTTAGCTGAACCACTTTGTTTGGTTCGTATGGATGTGGTATATATATCACCTCCTGTAAATCAGCATATAAAAATGCATGATTTATATCTAACTTTTGTACCACCATCCTATTATTGTTAGCAATCATCAACAATAATTTTAAAGTATCCATTTGTAACAGATCAGTGTGAATGACTCCGTACGTGGATGGAGTTTGTCGATCACCACGACAAACTATACGGGCTTTATGAGTGCCGTCCCGTTTAATACTAACCTGATTTCGAGGAATTCCTGCTTTTAAATCAAACACCATTATACGTTTTAAATTATCAAGTTCCTTCTTATGAGCTTCGTGGGATAATTTCTAGTTTCTAGATTAGTATTTTTGGTAATGGCCTCTTTGTAGTACATAGCTCTAATTGTATGAACTACTGGGGCCTGGTATGGTAAAGGACGATTTTTTTTAGTTCGTCTAAATCATGATTTCGTAATGCCTGTTGATACTTACTTAGTTTAAGTTTGGCCGATGGTTTCTTAATCGAATAAAATTTCTTATTAATCAAATTGTTAACTCTTTGTTTCAAATGAGGATTATTTTCTTCTTCATTATTTTCAATATTTTTTACTGATAAAGAATTGTCTGTTTGCGCATCGGTGTGAACTTGTGTATCTATGTCATTTGGTATCTCCTGAGCATTTTGAATTCCGTTCATATCTATCTCTGATTCATATACTTCTTCATTTTGAGGTTCGTCCTCAGAAGTTGTATATCAAGTTCGTGATTTATATTGAAGTTCGTCTTCAGATATGTCTATTTTAACCTAGACACTCGAGGATAAAGTTTATGTCACTATTGCTGTTTTTTTGTACAAAATAAATGTATCGATTTCTCTAATATATCAAAAGAACAAATTTTCAGTTCCAATATATAAAACTATTTATGTTATATAGACTACTCTGTTACAAGAGGATGAGCGAGTTACCACTCACTGACCTCAGTAATAGGTCAACGTACCTATTTAACGTATATCTACTTACATTGAAGCTTAAAGCTTTTACCATTCTGACAAAGAGAATATAAAAGGCTTTATAGTCTGGGCATATACACTCGCTTTGGGTTGAACTAGTTGAACTAATTACTGGGTTGCAATTATTCTTTATCAACTTTCAACTAATCTAGAATAATTTGTATTGCAAACACTTGAGATTTAAAATATGGAAAGCTCTATACAAAGGAAGAAAACAGGTGGAGACGAATACACAGAACAAATGTGTTCAGAAGAACCTTTAACTATAGGTACCGAGTCTTTTATCCAGAATCCACCAAAGCGGAGCTTTACTATTTTCCATTTTTACTGTATTCTCTTTATAGTTGTTTTCATATATTCAGTCTACTATTTCCATAGTCATGATATATTTGTTACCAAAGAAGTGAAGGCTGCGATTATAACTTCAACTCTGTCACCAGTTGCTATTACCAAACGAAGCCATTGGTATTAGGCTGCTTCTGCAGCTCTTGGGGTTTTTTTAGTTATTGGTGCAGCTATAAGTGGTGGTTATGCTGTAAATGCCTGTTCAGCGGATTTGGGATCAAATAAGTGCTGGATTTCTGCATCTATTGCAATAATTTGTGGTGCATTGGGAGGTGTAGCAACATCGGCTGCAAATATAGCATCAGCGGCTGCTTCTGTGGCAGCAGCTGCTAAGAGAGATGGTGGCTTGATCACTTCAATCGGATCATTATATTTCTACCATTCTTCACTGGATAACCTTACCCATATTAATGCTACATTCACCAATGCAGGATTAACTCTTCTTGGAGCATTCGAGTATAGCAATATATCTACAGTTCAAACAACAAAACGCGAAGTGGGCAATGAGGATAGACAACATGTACTTTATTTCAAAAGTCCTGTTGGTAATCATGTTGCTACTCATCTGAATAATGATGTAGGAAAATTAGTAGATGCCATTACCAACCAGACAGTCCCAGGTAGTTTAAGTGAAACAGTAGGTGAATTTAAGTCACTAATTCGTCATTTGAATTATTTTAATGAAGAATGGGTTTCATGGAATTGGGATAACGCAAATGTAGATTTGACTAGAGAAGTTCAACAAGATAGAGCCCTTCTTGAAGAAGAATATGACCAAGAGTTTTATAACTTTTTTAGTTGGGCTCCTTCTTGGAAATATTGTTGGACTGTCACTGTAAATCCTCATCCAGGACAAAGTTAAGGATATGACCAGATCGGTGATGATAATGCAGTTCATGGTGAGTTATATTTTAATACTTATGGTGGTGTGGATGGGTATTGTAATGACAATAAAGATGGTGCCCAATGTCCTGATCCTGCCTGAGAATCGTAATTACTGGTAAATTAATGGTAGGAGTAAGTATCTCTGCTATCTTTTATTTTCGACAATATTGTCATTCTCCACATACAACTATTATCAATGATTAGTAATGATTACTGCTGGCATTGGTCATATGAGTTTTTTCATTTAAAGCAATATCATCTTGTTTCACGAGTGTTCAAATTCAATACATCGTCAATGTAAAAATAGCGTTTATGTAACATAATATAATAAATAACTATGTATCAGAACAAAGAAATGATCCAATTATCTCGTATAATAGTGACCGGCATCATTGAGAGTAGTCCAATAAACCAGTATATTTTATATTATTGTGTAGATACTCACAAGGTTGTTTCTCTACTGAATCTTTCATAGCAATAGATTCTGTTTTTCGTTTCTAAGGACATCATTAATAAGTCAATGCTGAACCAGTTTATTAAATTATATAATATACACATGGGAATATAATTAATATGACAAGTATTAATTAAGTGTCAGAAATTATGAGATGACGTAAAGTCATACTCATTAATTCAATATTAATAAGGGTGAAGAATTATATGAAACATCATTATTAATAAGGGATAAAGAAATGTTTCTAATACGAAAGTATTTACTTCTGACGTGTGAATAATATCTAAACATTGTATATAAAGACTGATAAGATCTTAATTGACACTTATCATATGTACTATATTCCCATGTGTATATTTTATACTTTAATACACCGGATCAATATCATCTAATTAAAAATGTCCTTGCAAACAACTAAACAATCAACTACTATTAATGATTCTGTAAAGAATCCACAACCCTCTGATTCTCTACATTAAGATCTCATCATTTCTTATTTACAGTGTTGGAAAAGTTTTCAACGACAGAAATAACACATTCGTGTCAAGTAACATTTCTTTATCCTTTACGAATAATGTTGTGATGTGTCTAGCTCACGTGTCGCCTCATAATTCTGACAAGCTCTTACCATTCTAACACATTCTAATATTTATAACATTTCTAATAAATCTCATCACCATGCAAACTGATCTACGAATCAGGTTTTCTGCGCTCATTCAAGTTGAAATACTTTCGCGTAAGTAGTTCAGTGGTTAGAATCCATGCTTCCCAAGCATGGGGCCCGGGTTCGATTCCCGGCTTTCGCATTTGTTTTTTTCATTTTGCATTCTATTATAATTTGATAAACTAAAAAATTACATCAAATCAACTATAAATTAGTATTGCTCAATATTTTTCTATCCCTTCTTATTCCTCTATTTGTTATCTTTCTCCCACCTAGAAAGTAGTTGTTGCGAGAAACCAACCAATGTAATCGCCCTAAAAGGGGAAGCTGTTTCTATTGAGGTTACTTACCTCACGAGGTAATATGGTCACGGTTTTCGTGTTAGATCTCCCAGTTCAACAAGAAACTATCCTACAACACAGTCAAACGATGGAACGAGTAAAAAATAAGAATATTTAGGTATAATTTAAATGTATATACATGTTGTAATAGATTTTGAAAAAAGAAGATACATACACATTTTCCTTTTTTATTTTCTATTTACCTATAGGATGGAATCATAATTTTATATCAGATTTTAGAATAAGTAGGAGAATGACACATAGATATACATGTAGATAAGTTGAGGAATTGTAAAAAAACAGTTAAGTAATATCAAATTATTTTAACTTGGCGAATTGATCCAATAAAGCCTTACCTAGATGACCTGGAGATTCTACGACTGCGACGCCGACGTCTCTTAGGGCTCTCTTTTTTGATTCAGCGTCTGTACCAGAACCTTCAACGATAGCACCTGAATGACCCATTCTGACACCTTTCATTTGACCGGCAACAGTACCAGCGATGAAGGATGCTACTGGTTTTGGAACAGCTCTACTGTTGTTAAATTCTTTCAAATATTCAGCAGCTTCTAATTCAGCAGTACCACCGATCTCTCCTAACATTATAATACCCTCTGTAGCATCATCTTCTAAGAATAATTGTAAACTATCAATGAAGTCAGTACCTGGGAAGGCGTCACCACCCATACCGATAACCAAAGTTTGACCTAAACCTGTTAGAGTGGTTTGTTGTACGGCTTCGTAAGTCAAAGTACCAGACTTTGAAATGATACCAATTTTACCAGGTTTAAAGATACTTGTTGGCTGGATACCGATTCTAACCTTTGAGACAGGGTTGACGATACCAGGACAATTTGGACCTACTAATCTTGTTTTATCTTGTGATTTCAACATTTCAGCGATATATAACATATCATGTTGAGGGATACCCTCTGTGACTGCGACGGCCAATGGGATTTCAGCTTCGACAGCTTCCTTAATGGCAGCGGCAGCGAAAGGAGGTGGGATGAAGATACCTGAAGCGGTAGCACCTGTTTCCTTCACAGCTTCAGCAACTGTAGCGAAAACAGGTTGTCCCAAATGGGTTTGGCCTGCTTTTTTAGGATTTGTACCACCTACGACATCGGTACCGTATTTCTGTGAGATTTCAGCATGGAAAGTAGCTTGTTTACCTGTAAAACCTTGAAATATAACTTTTGTACCGTTTGGAATCAAAAGGTTTTTAATTGTCTTGTCGTAAGGGATGGATTCCCTTGAAAAACAACGACGGAAAGTAGCAGTTCTAATTGAAGCAGATCTTAACATTTTGCTTGGTATGATTTTAGAATAAAAATTCGATGTAATTCACCTTCTACTATGAGACAACGAAAGGAGGCAAAGGGGGTAAAAAATGAGATAACAAAAATAAATCCAAGTTCTATCAATGGAAAATCAGAAAATCAGGAAAATGAAAAAGTGAAAAAATAAATCTATGATAGATAGATATATATATGAATATATAAGGTAGATATGATCAATTTGCAGACACTCCTAATTTGTCAGTGCGATGTCCCCACAATTTCAAGAGCGAGCCTTAACAATCAGTCGATAGAATCAAACAAGCAAGCAAGCAAGCTATAGATTAAAAGATAAACTGAACTAGACCAAAACAAATCAAATGAAAACTCGGAAAAAGAGTTTAACTAACATCATCTGGTGAAAGAAAGTCTTTAAAAGATGTTTAGAACATTTCAGCCCCATATATATACTGATTAATTTTTTTTTAGTCCTTGTCTGTCAAGCAGAAGCAATTGAATAGACCAAATCTTGTCCTCCTCTGGTTTTAACCCCGCGTTTTGGGCTTTTGGTTATCAGATTTATCTGTTCTGTTTTTCCCGGGTTGTTGGGCCCGTTGGATCGGACGATCCCGGAGGAAATGTATACGTGTGAAGTGATGTGAGCTGGGATGGGGGTGGGGGGGGAGATAAAAGCGACAGGCGGAGAGCATTTCCGTACGGAGGAGGGGGAGAGATAGGCAGCAACGGAAATGAAGTCGGGGTAACAGGTTGGTATGTTCCCCCCGGGCAGATGTTATCTCTTCTCTTCCGTGTTCCACTGCGACCCGGAGGGAGGGAGCGGAAGAGAAATGGTGGCACGTGACTTGACTCTTTTCACTTCAACTGCCCCAACGGATAAATAGGTTACAAAACGTGTTAGTGTATGTCACATGAGTGTATCACGTGCTCTTGGTATTATAGTGCTAATTCACTCTTTACATTATGCTTCTTACATATACATCTACTTACACATATACATACATATATGTTTCTCTTCTGGTGTCAAATAGCAACCAATAAAGATTAAACACTCACATCTCCACTGCAAAATCTAACATTGGAATATATACAATCTATTCGGTGTCGACAGGAACATCTATAATGGCATTCCCGACTGTCATACATACATATACATATATATATATATATATATACAATATTCTTATATATTAATGAAGGGGATTTAAAAAACAACACAGACATTTGGACAATCGACATCAGGTTTACCGTCTCTTGGAATTCAATTTTTTTTTTCTTTTGTTTCGATTTTATTGGCATTTGCATTTGCTTTCTTGGAATGCAAGACAGATGAATAGAAACCATCTCTCTTTAATCTATTCCTCACGTCAATGAGGGGGGGCAGGGCGTCCTTACACTTATAATTTGTTGATGACAGCTTCGGTGAATGAACTGGTGGTGGCAGTACCTGCTAAATCACCGGTTCTATTTTCTGAACCAGAAGCAATGGTAGACAAAATAGCATTTTCAATCTTAGTGGCATGTTCATTCAAGCCCATGTGGTTCAACATCATAACTGAAGACAACAATAGGGCGGTTGGGTTAGCCTTGTTTTGACCAGCAATGTCCGGAGCAGAACCGTGAACAGCTTCAAAAATGGAAACCTTGTCACCAATATTAGCAGATGGTGTTAAACCTAATGAACCAGCACTCAAACCAGAGTTCAAATCAGATAGGATATCACCATACAAATTAGGACATACTGACACGGCATCAGTGTAAGATTCTGGGTGTGTGACAACATTTAAAATTGTGTTATCTATCAATTCGGTTTGTAATTCAATATCTGGATATTCAGAAGCTAATTCTTTAGCGACATTGACAAATAAACCATCTGCCATTCTTTGAATAGTGGATTTGTGTACAACAACTAATCTTGGTCTACCAATAGCTCTGGTGTATTCGAAGGCATATCTGATAACTCTTTCAGAAGCATCTTTAGTAATCAATTTGATAGATTGGATGACACCTGGGGAAATCACATGTTCAATACCAGAATATTCACCTTCAGTGTTTTCTCTAATCAAAACTAGATCAACATTTTGGTAGGTAGTCTTATAGTTTGGAACTGATCTGGCTGGACGAACATTGGCAAATAAGTTGAAAGTCTTTCTTAAAGTTAAATTCAAAGATCTGTGACCTTTACCAATTGGGGTGGCCAATGGACCTTTCAAGGCGACTAAATGCTTGTTTATACTTTGAACAGCTGCATCTGGAATAGTGGTCAAACCATTAACAAAAATTGGACCAACATCACAAGGTTCCCATTCGATGGGTACCTTTGCAGCAGCAAAAATATCCTTGACAGATTTTGAAATTTCTGGGCCAACACCATCACCTTCAATAAATGGGACAGTGTATTTACCAGTGACTGGGTTTGGCTTACCAGTGAATCTACCGATATTTGGTTGACCAGTAGTCATCATTCTGGCAAATGAACCTCTATAAATAGTGTTTCTTAACATGATGAATTATTTCAAAAATGAACTGATTTGTGTAGTATTTGAGCTTCTAACGCTAGCTAAAAAATTTATTTCAATATCTTATATTAATGTTCCTGTTGGATGGAATTAATATAATCTTGATTGATATTAAAATTGATCCTTTTCTCTTTTTGTACTTTTCGAAACAAAATTGATTCAATAACAATCTTACGAAACGACAAAGAATTCCTAATAGATTTGTATATATATCTAAAAAGTAACAATTCAAATCACAATTTAACGCAACATCCAAAAACACACAATAAAACAGAATTTCTTAAACCAATAAATAGTCAAAATTATTATTTCTTCGAAAAGACAATTTTTTTTATCCTTAATTAAGCTCCTTTCGATACTGCTAATTTATATATACGTTTTAATTCTCCCACTACGTTCTTTTCCACATTTAAAAATAAAAATTAAAACAGAAGAATAAAATGAAGGACGAAAAATCAGCTTAACTTAAAATCAAACCAGAGTATTTTATCCACACTAAAACTTGCATAGTAAAATAATCCGCACGTTAAAAGATAACATAACCACTCTGAAGATATTATTTTTCCTTTGCTAATGGCTCACTGGTAATTGGATGACTATAGCAAATTCGCTACAGATAACCCTCAAGGAGCAATAACAAAACGCTTACGACACAGAAGCTTAATAAACTTAACGTTTAAAAACGGTGTTGTATTAAATGAATTGCAAAATCGGTAATGGTCTGTTTTCCCGTGCTCGGTATTACGTGGTATTTGCGAGAATCGCAATTTGACCTCTCACCAAAAGAAGTCTTTTCCCACCATCTCAAATATCATAACATACGAGCTCAAACGTTTTAGAGTCTCTTCAACAATCAAACAGCGGTTAATCAACCAGACCCATCATCTTATATAGACATTTTTGTTTAGAATCAAACTTAAAACCATCAAAATGTTGATGCGTTAAACCATATTTTAAACTTCCTAATGAGTTGATCAAAACATACATATTGGACGATCAAAAGAGAAATTATTTCTTATATATTTAATTTTGTTTTATTTTTTAATGTTTATTTCCATAGGAGTATCTTTAAAAAGTTTTTTGGTATCCATTTTCATCAAAATATTACAGAAGGATTGATAATCATTAAAATTCCACAAAACTTTCTTTCTTGATTCAAATTTCCTTATCTCATTCTTAAAAACCTCCAAAATCTGTTGGTTTATTTCATTCTTTCCTTACTTTACCTCAATACTTCCCGCTATTTATACTTCCCGGAATTGAAATCTAAAAAACTATCTTATCCTTAAGGCTGGGCGGTTAAAAAAATGTACTTTCGCTGGGAGTCCATTGTGATATTAATGTGAACAAATCTAACCAATCCAAATTAACATTGTCAAGTGCCCGTTTTATTCATCGATTAAGTTATTAATAATATTACAATAAAACTTTATTATATAAATACATACAGTTAAATATAGAACATTAGACTATAGGTCAATCTTGTAAAAAACATTCATTAAAAACCTAAATTGGCACTATACTATTCTCTATAGTTTAGTCTAGTCTATTCTAGTCTCGTCTGTCTTTTTCATTATTTGTTGTTGATCTCGAACGACTTCTCAGCCTTTGAAACCAAGAGTTCCTTTTATGACTCCTAGGAGAACGTTCCTCATCCGAAGTCTTTGTATATGAAGAAGATCCTGTTACAGAACCATTAGAATGTGTAGATAGATACTCTGGGACCGGTGGATAATGATGTTCAGGTTGGTGATCTGATTGAAGTAGGGTATCTATGTTATTCTCTTCAGATTTTAGATCTTCAACATGGTGTACGTGGTTAGCCCCGTAGTTGCTATGATGCGGATGTAAGTGATGAGAATGACTATTATGCTTTGAATGATGATGAATATGATTTGATGACGTGTGGTTAGAGTTGGGCAGTTGTTCCAATTCATCCACAGATTTGTTCCCATTAGAATTCCCATGAGGGAAAATTAGTGACATCGGTCTAACATCCAATCCTCCACTCAATGATCGGCTCATGCTACTCGTATGTGTAGAAAGTGAACGTACATGAGAGGTTGCCCTTGGCATTGCATCTGTAGAGTTATCTGAAAATACTTCTTCTTCTGCACAATCTTCGTCATTGGCTCCAGAATCACTTAAATAATCTGGCCTGTGAAACCAATTAAACAGTTTGGTTCTTCTTTTATTACTAGAAATCACATCAGGAGGAACAGGGACTGATCCAATAGAACGAGAATGTGGTCTTCTGATAATAGGTGGAGTCAATTTATTATCGTGTCCTTTTTCATAGACCACCGATGAACCTGGCGGGACAACATTACGTGAGGTTGGAGTTACAACGGGGGTTATCGTTTCCTTGTTTAACAAATCGATAGAACCAGAATTAGTACTTTGAGTTTTCTGAAGCTTGGTTGTATCGACTGGTTTCTCTAAAGTAGGTGTAGCAGCTGTAGTAGTAGTAGTAGTAGTAGTAGCAGCTGTAGTAGTAGTAGTAGCAGATGTAGTAACCTTAGAGATACTGACAGCCTGTTGATCTTCTTTACTCGCTTTTAATAGGAAAGGAAGCAACTTGTAAGAGTACTCTATCAAAAAGTTAACTACTAATCTCGAAAGCTCATACTCTCTTGGGTCCATATCATGTTGAGGATGAGATAAAATGGATGGTTGAAATATGGCTGATAGATTTTTTCCTGTCATAAGATTGCGATCAGATTGTCTTGCAAATAAACTTAACAAGTCTAGTAAATATATTGTCAACTGCTTTGAATCATCAGAAAGCGATAAAAATAATCTTTGATATTCCTTAATGGTAGCTTTTATTTCTTTTGTTAGACGTCTTTTGCGTCTTTTTTCCTTTTGTATCATTTCTTCTCTTACATCTGCGGATTCATCTTCTTTCTCTACATCACCATCATGAGCATGTTCGATTTCATTCATCGGCCTATTTTCATCATTAATCCCAACACCAGCCTTGGCATCTGATGAGCTAGACACATTCAAAGACTGTATATGTTTTATAACTCTTGGTCTATTTTTTAACGGTGCTCTAAAATCATCATACAACTGCAATGGTATCAATGGTTCGTCCAAATTATTTAGATAACGTCGTAACAGAGATGCAACGTCGTGGACAGTGTATACATCCCAATTACTAAATTTGGTCCCATAATCAGGAGGAGTAGAAAAAATATGTTGCAATTCTTTAACTCTTTTACTGCTACCAGCGATACGAAATATACCTGAAGTTTCCAAGGCATTTGCCTTCAAATAAGCACCACATTTGGCTACCACAATGGGTATTCTACCAAAACTGACCAATTCACTTTGAACAATCACCTCTGCACTTGCAACACTCAGAGAATCACTTAGTGATACTCCAAAGACACTTCCAGTAAATCCACGATTTTTCAATATGAAATCATCTCTATAATTTTTAAAATTTGCATCAAATTGTTGATTGCCCAAATTTAAATTTGAATTTTTAACAACTGATCCATTAGCAGCTTCACCGATTACTTTGCCCTTAGATAAAGTAGGTCTCTTCATAAGGTCATTAGAATTATGAGCATCCTTAACTGTTAACGAGTCGCTCGACAAACTTTTAGGATTGCTTAAAAAATGCTTCCAGAACTGTTTAGTGTTCTTACTAGGGGAAGCAGTTCCACCAGAGGCAGTTGGCATTGCTAACAATGTCTTTTGTATATGTAATCCACACGGTTAGGAAGAGATGAGAGAAGGACTTCTTAAATTCCCAATTCTTGCCTTGTGTATCCAAATAAATAAACCAAACTATGATTTATAATGTGTAATTTGTAAAAAAAAATTTTTTAGGTTTTATCAATGACAAAGCAAATTAGATTAAATTGATGAGCGGAGGAATGCGTTCCCAAGTGAGATAGAAGAAGTACCAGCTTCCAAAATATTCACTTAAACCTGAACCTTAAACCTAAACCTAAACCTAAACCAAAAACAAAAACAAAAACAAACACGTAAAATTCAACCTGACAACTCGAAGATTAAACAAACACCTACAAGAAGAAGAACAATCGCACTTGTCTCAAAAAACCTAATTCAAATAACCAGTTGCAGCAATGTCAATATCAATATCAATATATATATATGACCAGAAACCAGAAACCAAAATTTCGAAAATATAAAAAAATATAGCTAAAAGAAAACTAGTAACTTTTTTTAAGTCTGTCTAAAACCTTACTAACCAACTCTCAACAACAAATCTAAAGCAATATACAACCAAAATACAAACACACCATCAATATCTATATATATAACCTTTCTTCACCTTCACCTTTTTATCGTTATCTTTATCTAAATCACATAAACAATCAAACAAACCTTCAAACAATGGTGGAAAACCTTGATATTTTAAGATGTTTAAGGATTTAAATTTGTTACTATAATTTGCATTTTTAGGAACAATTTTTCTATGAAATGGTCGCATTGACGGTGTATCACTACAAGAGGTTAATTACCAAAAGTGGTTGGAAAAAACAATTGAGCCATAGCAGCACAGGGAATGAATGGTTTAAGCAACCATCTATATATTCGTTGTATTTGCATTTGCATTTGTATTTGCATTTGTAAGTGTATGTGTAAGTGTATGTCTTGGTTGATGGTGTTAAAAGAGTATTTGTTATATTACTATAATGGTGCTATCTATATATATATAGATGTCAAGTTTATTCTAATTAGGATTATTGTGTGAACTTCTAGCATGATGATTTGATTATTCTTTTACTTGAGTTGAAATACGTTGCTTGATATATACTTTAATTATACAGTGTAAAGACAAAATAGAACGCAATACGAATCATCCGATTCTTATTCTTTTTCTTTTGATTATTATTCTAATTACTTTATTCTTGGTTCATTGTATCTACTTTTTGTTTTTTTTATCTTGATTTAATTTGACTTTTCCCCTTCCCCTCTGATCTATTGGTTCATTTGGACGTAGTTACCAGGGAAAACACCTTGTTGACCGTTATATCTACCGGTCCACCATTCGTTGACGTTGGCTGTACGTTCGACAATTTCAATGAGAACTCCTGCTGGGAAACTTAAATCACCTGCGGCCTGGGCTTGGTATTCATATAGAGAGGTGCATGTTTCTGCTTGTGGAGCTGCTGAATATGCTGGTGGTCCTGGTGCTTGCACTGGTTGTGCTGGTGGAACTGATGATTTAACATCGTATCCTTGAGCTGCTACTGCTGGGGCAGCAGCAGCAGCTCCATATGGAGTAACAGCAGGAACTTGTGCGCCGTAACCTGGTGTGACAGCAGCAGCACCGTAACCTGGTGTGACAACAGCAGCAGCTGGATCGGCACCATAACCCGGAGCAGCGGCGGCTGCACCTGCTCCATATGGAGTAACGGCTGGAACTTGTGCACCATACCCTGGTGTGGCACCTGGAGAAGCACCATCAGCACCAACACCGTATGCTGGAGCAGAAGGTGGAGGAGTAGAATCAGCTCCATATTTCTTTCTTGTCATTTCTAATTTAGCCTTAGAGTAACCTACTTTGAAATGAGTGATTGCCAAAGAGTCAGCTTGTTCCTCAACATTACCTCTCTTTATCGTAAATGCCTCTACGATATCACTATCCAAATCGAAGTAAGGAATTTTCATTTCTTGGAATCGATTGTATAAGGTGTAGAAAATGTTCAATTGCATATAATAGAAGGAAACAAATAAAGGTTGAACAAATTGAGCCTCCAAACTAAATAATATTGGCAACTGAGTTTTCATCATTTCATTATAGTAGTCGTATTCTTGTTGAGCAACCTCCATTTCTGCTTGTGCTTTGTACATCCTTTCTTCATCCTTTGCGGTTGGCTCCTTCTTATTTTCATACTTACTATAAGTGTTTAGACGTCTATCCAAATCCAATTTCTTGTGATTTCTCTTAGTGGCCATCTTACGGATATAGGTAATGACCTTCAATAATTCTTGACAAGGTTTGACAACTTTATCTTCAATCAAAGTCAAATCAGGCTTTAAAGTCTCTTGTAATTCTGCAACGACAGCTCTATACTGTTCACTTGCTTCAATACCGTCTGGATTATCTTCTGGAATAGTGGCATTAGGATCACTCATTTTACCACTGATTGGCTTGAAAATTTCTTCCATAGCTTTGGCAAAACCAATTTGATGATTCAACATACCATTGACTGCAGTGGAATATCTTTTTGACTCATCACTTAACTTCTTAGTTTCGTCTTCCAGTTCTTTGAAACGACGTTCAGCATCCTCATAGACCGGATCCTCCGTCTGCTCACCCATATTGAACTTCTGACGGAAGGATTGTGGTGCTCTAGTGATAGCTCTCCCAAAACCTTTAAAACTCATTTTTACTTGTAATATTCTTAACCAAGTCCCTCTCTCTCCTTTTAATTACCTAATCTTGCACTAGCCTCTGCTTGATTTCTTCTGCTATTCAAACGATCAAAATAAAGACCTTAACTTAAAATAATGAAATCTCAAAAAATAAATTTCACTTCCACCCCTTAACAAACAATATATATACAAAATCTAAACTCAAAACAAAATAGATTCATCAAACTAATCTGCTAACTTATTTCAATAAATTGTCAAAATTTCAAAATTTCAGCTGAGTTTTGCTAATTTTGATATTCGAAAGATATCAAAAAAATATCCGAAAAGACCCCTTTTAACAATATGAAGTAGAATTAAGAGCAGTATTACCCGAATTTTCCACATAGTAAAAGATTATAGTATTAGATTTCATGGAATGAGTTGATGGTCAAAATGGTGATATATACGATCGATTAATGGCAAATTGAGGCTTATAATCGACATATTGTAATTTGGAGTTCATCATTTCCATTATTTAGAGGTGAAAGTGGGCTTGCCATATGGAGAGGAGAATCTTGTTAATTTGGAAAGTGTAAAAGTGAGAGGTTTAAAGCATACGGTGTCGAGTTTTAATCTATAGGTTATATTTGGGTTGCAGTGAAGGTTCAACAATATAGTTTTTTTGTTTTAATTCATGTAAATGTCTCTGCAATTTTTGCTGATAGACTTTTTGTTATCTTTTTGGCACCTGGCGCATTGCCCAGTTGTTTGAAAAGTAATAATCTTGCTTCTTCATCATTTTTGCATTCTTTATAGGCCATTAAAATGTGATTCAATGTAGGATATACGTTTTGAATTGCAATTGCCTTCTCTAAGGAAACACCCTTGATATACATCAAGACGTTTATTGTCAATTCTCTTACTGTTTTCATATCGCCTTTCCCCATTACATCTTGGAAACATTCAAAACTATGACAACATTCGACTGTATTTGATCTTTCGAATTCTTCTTTGAAAAACGATAATATTTTTTTATAATCATCTTGTGAGTTTAATTCCCCAGGGAACAAGACTATTAGATCTCTGCCTTCATATTGCTTCTTAATGACTTGATGCAATGCAAATAACTTTTCAACAGTGTCATCTGAATTAGATGTCCGAATCATTGAAAACCTATAATAAATAAGAATCAACCATAGTGACGTCTTCAATGCTTCTCCCATACCACCTATCGATGATCCAATGGTCTCCTCAATTAAATAATAAATATGTTTACAACCTGATTTTTCTAAACGATTTTTCTGTTCCATAAACCTGTTATCTTTAATACTATCCGCTAAATCATCAAGTCTTTTTCTTTCTACAATGGTATTAAGTACACATTGGTAACCTGATATCTTATGTCTAGCTACCCATATTATATCCCCCAGTGCTAATTGTTTCATATCTGCTTTCATACCCTTTCTCTCAAATGCATTGATGAAAAATTCCCTGTCAGCTTTCGATTTAACTTCTCTATGATCAATAATTGGCAAAATTTCGAATGCATCTCTTTTCCACAATTCATAGCTGGTACCTTTAAACCGTCTTCTTATTATCTTTTCTTGGTCAGAGTTGGTATTACCTTCGCTTAATGGTCTAGTACTTTGATTTGGGGTCCCTTTACTAGAACTGGTAAATATATTGGTATTCTCTGGTCTTGAAAACACTGGAGAACTATTCTGTTGGTGTATTGTAATCTCAAGCAGTGATGAACTATAGGATCTCTTCATAGTGCTCTTTTTATTTTCTGGATACAGAGTACTTAAATCAGCCGAAAACTCTTCGTTTGGGTCTACTTGATTGTTATTGTTCATCATTTGATTTGATATATATTCATCAGGGAATACAATGTTATCTGCACTTTTCAATGTCTTTGCCAAATCCATACCTTCATCTGTTAAAATATATCTTTTCGGTCTACCTTCCTCAAGTACTAGACAATTAGATTTAAGAGCCGCTATCGATGACCATGCCCCATACATTTCCTTGGTTGCATAATTTGGTGCCATACTAGTTTTACAGAATTTTTGTCCATTCTCGATAATTTCATCCTTTGTCAAACCTCTTGAAATAGCTTTTGACTCTAATAATGCTAATAAAATTGCATAACCACCAGATCGCTTCTTTGGAATATATTTCCGTTTCTTTCTCTTAACTGGCTGCTCATTTGTACCATCTCCTAATGTACTATTGGATCGTAATGTAGTCATTGATCTTTTCGAACCTGTCCTAGCATCTTCTGTTTCGCTTGAAGCCGCCATTGTTGGTGGATTGCATCCAATACCCTTACAATAAGTAGCCAACTTCTTTTCCATCCTCCTCATGATAGCATTACCAATACCACTAATTTTTAAAAGATCATTAGGATAAACAAACACACCATCAGTACTAGCTAAATTCCGTTTAGCCTTTTCATATGTGATCTTTAATTGATCTTGATGAGACCCCAATGAATCGATCAACTCTTGGAGCCAGTCCAAGTATAAATCTTTTAAATTAGATGGCAACGACATAAGAACTTAATCCATATCACCACCAATACCAATCTTCCTTCGAATATATAACCTTGTCTGTTTAATATCAACTATAAATCAGTAATGTATTACCAGATTCCTTTGGTTTCTAATATATTCAATATATTTCAATTTTTATTTACATTTCATCGCTAGTAACAAAATCACGTAGAGATGACGTTTTTATGCATATTATCTGAGTTCAAGGTTAACACTATGCCAAGATAATGTTTAAAGTTTACTAGAGGTTAATAAAGTCGAGATATAAAGACAAAACTAATGTTAATTATTTATTTAAAGAATTGTATATTGAATTATATGACTGTAAATAGCACTACAACAAAATAAAGAATAGAAAAAACCAACTTCTATGAAATTGAAAATTTGGATTTTTAGATATTCTTACAATTTGTCGTAGTATTCTTGCCAGCCTGGAACTTCTTCCTTCATACCACGTCTTTTACGGGAGGCAGCAACAATTTCACCAGCCTTGGTGGTTGGGTCCAATGGGTCAGTACCTAAAGTAGCCCAATGGTCGAAAACCATTTGTGGGAAAGCTTGACCACCGGTAGCTTGTCTCAATTCACCGGTGAAACCGAAAGATTCGTTGACTGGCAAGTAAGCCTTGACAGTGAACAATGGAGTACCTGGTCTTTGTTCTTCAGAGACGACTTGACCTCTCTTCTTGTTTAAGACGGAGTAGATACCACCAACAGCTTGTTCTGGACATTGAATTTCGACCAAGAAGACTGGTTCTTGAATCTTTGGTTCAGCCAACAAGAAACCGGCGTAAGTAGCTCTTCTCATGGTTGGGATAATTTGACCACCACCTCTGTGGATAGCATCAGCGTGTAAAGTAACATCTAAGATGTTAACTCTGACGGATCTCATTTGTTCACCGAAGATTGGACCTTCCTTGGTAGCCCATTGGAAAGCAGCAACAACGGAATCCTTGATTTCGTTCAAGTATTGGACAGCCTTAGTTTGGTCAACAACCAAATTTGGACCGTTACCATCTGGACCGAAACACCAGATCTTTCTGGCGTCAGTGACATCCCAGCCGAATTCGTCAGCCATGACTCTGGCTCTGGCCTTAAAATCATCTCTTGGGTTAATCTTACCACCTTCAATAGCCAAAGAAACTTCTTCGTCAATTGGTTCAGCCTTCAAGTAGATTCTGTTATGCTTGTTTGGAGACTTGGACAAAGCGGTTTGAGAAGATTCACCTTCAACAGTTTCTCTGTAAGCAACGACTGGTGGGGAAATCTTCAATGGAATACCAGCGTGGTCGTTTTCTAAATCTTGCAAACAAATTTCCAAATGTAATTCACCGGTACCAGCGACAATATGTTCACCAGATTCAGACATGTAAGTCAAGACACATGGATCAGACTTAGACAATCTCTTTAAACCTTCAACCAATTTTGGCAAGTCGTTAGCGTTCTTAACTTCGACAGCGACTTGGACAACTGGAGAGACAGAGAATTTCATGACCTTCATGTTGTAAGCAGTTTCGGAAGTGGTCAAAGTACCGGTCTTCAACAAGAATTGATCGATACCGACTAAACCGATAATGTTACCAGCTGGACAGTCATCAATTGGTTCGACGAATCTACCCATCATCAAAACAACTCTTTGAATAGCCTTGATGAATAAATCTTCCTTCTTACCTGGGACGAAGTTTGGACCTTGAATTCTGACCTTTTGACCAGATTTAACGGTACCAGCGAAAACTCTACCGAAAGCGTAGAATCTACCCTTATCAGAGGTTGGAACCATCTTGGAGACGTACAACATTAAGTCAGCCTTTGGATCACAGTTCTTGATAGCGATACAACTTGGGTCATCGTGTGGACCTTCGTATAATTGTTCAGCTCTGTATTCTTGAGCAGTAACTGGAGATGGCAAGTGCATGATGATCATTTCCAACAAAGCATCAGCAGCTGGCAAGAATTTTCTCATAACGACCTTCAATAAAGCCTTACCTTCCAAATCTTTTTCGTCACCCTTCAATTGGATTTCCAATTTTTCTAACAAGACTGGAATTTCTTCCTTCTTGAAGTTCATAACGGCAGAGAATAATCTGAAGATTGGGTCCAAGACGAACATGTTGAAAGCTCTTTCCAATGGCTTACCATCAGCGTCGGTATCCTTGGAAGACCACTTCTTAGTCTTTGGGTTGAAGAAAGAGTCACCCCACAATCTGTCCATCATCTTGGTCTTGTCAACACCGAATTTCTTACCGTATCTGTTGGCAAATTGACGGATGGTGAAAGCCCAACCGTGTAAACCGGAACCGAAAGCAACGGTACCTCTTTGTGGGTAGACTTGAACATCACCTAAAACTTCATCAGCGTAAGTGGAGATGATGACGTTAACGGATTCGACGGTTCTGGCAAAAGTTTGGTACAAATCTTCCTTGGAGACTTGTAATTCCAACAAAGCTCTGTCGACCTTGTTAATACAGACGACTGGCTTAATTCTTTCACCTAAAGCTTGTCTCAAGACGGTTTCAGTTTGGACACAGACACCTTCAATGGTATCGACGACAACTAAAGCACCATCAGTAACTCTTAAAGCAGCAGTAACTTCAGAAGAGAAATCGACGTGACCTGGGGAATCGATCAAGTTAATCAAGAAAGCACGACCTTCAGTCTTTTGCTTGATGTCCTTAACATCTTCTTCAGACATTTCAGAGTATAAAGAAATAGCGGTAGACTTGATAGTAATACCTCTTTCTTGTTCATCCTTTCTGGTATCAGTGAAACGAGCTTCACCAGCTTTAGCAGCAGAGATAATACCAGCTCTTTGGACCAAGGAATCAGTCAAAGTAGACTTACCGTGATCGACGTGGGCAATAACGGACATGTTACGAACATTGGTAACAGTGTCCATTAAAGAACGCATTTGGTCAACAGTGAAAGCAACCATTTTGAATTACAGAAGTTGTTTGGTTGGATTGAAACAATTAGCTTATCGAGTTTCTTTCCTCAAGAATTAACAACTAAAAAATATATATAGAGAATACAATATAATATAGTAACTAATTAATAAATAGATTTTAAATATAAATTGACAAGAAAGCTAATCTTGAAAGAAGAACAAGAGTTATTAACAAGAAGCATTAAAACATACAAGTGAACATAAAAAAAATTTTTTCTCTCTCATTCTTTGAAATTCATTCGAAAACAAGTTGGAATTAAAAGTATTAAACAGTAAAAGTTAAAAGGAAAACCTCTAATCAATTACAATTATATATCAAAAGTTTATTCACCAATTGCATACATTTCAAACTGCTATTACATTACACTATTTCAAAATTTTTCACTTGTTCGTTTGTTAGCGTTTTTTTGCAACACTTTCTTTCTTTCTCTCTTTCTTTCTGATGGGCATCTCATCTCATCTCAGCTCAGCTCAGCTTGAAAAATTAGTTACCATACGCTGGGAGACTGTTCGTTTCTGGCGAAGTTCTAGGCAGAACGGTTGGTGGCAGGCGGTCCTTTTCCCTTCGCTGTGCCCCCCCACCAGCTGTAGGGTAGGGTACGGTAACGGTTCCGTGGTGGTGGCGCTAGTTGTAAGTGATGGGTCTGTTGGTTAGGGGATGGTCGGATTTATAGAGAAAAGTACGTAGGATTTAGTTTTTTTAGTAGCAACTGGAACGTTTTTTGCGTGGTGCGAAAGGTATGGCATGCGATGCGGTCCATAAATTACGCTGGATGGTAGGGTAAAGTTAAGTTTCTCTCTGTCTCTCCAGATGGGGGAACGACCAAAGTGCGAAATTAAGGCAAAAAATAATAAAAAAATGTCTTTTGCAACAATCGTCAGCTGAAACAATAACTACATACCATACTATTTGAACTAGTAACCTAACTGAACTATTCTATTAGGTTTAAAATTGATGTTGCTATTATTCTCATTACTATGATCCAATTTACCAAGTGCTTATTATTCTTTTATTCATTCATTACGTTGAACGTTAAGTTAACAAGAATTGATGTCATCTTCGTCTCTAAGTAAAATTAACGTATCTGTCCATCTCTTTGTTGTCATAGGAATTGAATAAACTCTTGGGTTCATGTCATGGCTCTTTTTTTTTTTACGATATTTTTTAGTCCTTGGTAGAATTCTTCTGCAGTCTGCATATCATGATTAAATTTTGGAGAGCGTCAGTATGATCGATTGATCGATCAGTCAAGCAATCGATGAGATGCCTTAGTGATTTGATGTGCTTTACTTGTTCCTCCTCTCATCTATCTATATACACAACTATACACATCGCTTTTTAAAGAACACACACATACATACACACACGTAATTAAATTAAAAGGTCATTCGTATCTAGATTATTTTTTATCATTTTATTTACATTTTAAAAAGTGCATTTACCTAGCATTGAAGCTGCATTCTTAGCGTCAAGGATGGATGCTGATGGCGGTGTGCTGGATGATGTAGATGATTCTGTAGTTATACTGTTGTTACCCGCATCTGAACCATGCTCTTGCTCATGTTCATCTGCTTTAATAGATTCATCAAATTCTGTATGAGACATTTGGTTGATCTCATTTTCGTCTCTAGAACGCACATCCCCAGTCCAATCATCCCCATTAATAGTTTGTGAATTCAAACTAGGTTTATTTTTTATATGACTACGTCCTAACCTCGACAGCCCACCTTCTACATCTGCATTTCTCACATCACTGCGAACTTTTTCAAGTATCGACAGTTTCTTACGTTCATATTCAATTCTTTTCAATGTATACTCTTTGATAATGCTCTTCAAATGTTCTTCGTACCAATTCAACCATTCTTTACGTTCTAATAACATATTTGTGGTAACTCTCTCTAACTTCAGCGTCAACTGTTGCTCATATCTAGTGGCTTCCTTTAATTGACGGATAGCTTCGTCAACTTTAATAGGATTTATATCTCGTTTTGCTCTTAACCTTCTAGCATTATCTTGTTTTGATTTAGTATTCTGCTGGGCTTGGATGAGTTCCCTCATTATTAAATGTCTGTTAGTCAAAGCTTCTTTGACAACATATGTATCGTTAATAATCCATTCCAATCCGTCGTAAAATGTCGCAATGTCAACAGTGGCAATTATACTGTCGAAGTCGCCTACTGTCGTGATTATCTTACCAAAATGCTTATACAAAGTTATCTGTTTAGATGATACGGTTTCATCATTGAACTTCTTATAGTAATCACTCAATGAAATAAACCCTTTACCCATTGCATTTTCATTCTCAGCAACTATCTTTTTGGCCTTAGATACTCTTAGCAATTTCAATTGCAAGTCCTTGGCTGTCCAATGGATGGACTTAACTAAGGGTCTAAATTCCGCCAACTCTAAAGTCTCATCAAATGGAGGGGATAATTGTTTCAATGTTTTTCTTTTCAAACCAGTCGCAGGCAACGTAGATTTATTGATCGGAGAATAAGTATTATGATCACTTTCAATAAAAAATGCAAGTTCTTCATTCCTCAATATTAAGGGATCTGAAAGAATTCTATCAAACCACAATTGAAAGTTATGTACTGTCTTATCCAAATCCTCTCTATTGTTAATGCCATAGTTTGTAAATGGTATAGGTAAAGCCGGAATAAATGATTCTTGAATGGCACCATTCAAATATTTAAATAACTGTTGAAATTCCTCCATAGTTTTTTTAACCTTTTTATGAGTCTGTTTCCTAAAAGTTGGAAGATTTGTATTCAAATCCAATACAATAGTCGGATTTTCCTTCTTATTATTGGTAGATCCTGCTCTTTCTAAACCAGTCACTTTAACAGTGATGTTAAACTTTTGATTTGAACTGCGTTCAGGTAATACATTTTTTTTAGGAGCCTCTGCAGCTTTATCAGTCTCTTCAGTAGGTTTCTTGACTTCACCATTTCCAACAATCTCACCAATAGGCTCGTCTGCTACTTTACTTGTTTCAGCAGGCCCCGATTCAGCAGGTTCTGCAAACGGATTGTTATCAATATCATCATCGTCATGGAAGGAAGAACTCATATTTCAACAAAAGATTAAAATTATCTGCTTTTCCCCAGCAAGTAGTAGATATACCCAAAAAAATAATCCAACTAAGCAAACTTGGAATACCACAATGCCCTCACAATACCTGGTATCTTCGCCTCATATGCATTCGTTGGCTAAACTTTAATATACTTTCACTTCTTTAACCCTTTTTAAACGTTTATCTAAAATTCTATTCCTATTAGATATCTTGATATTTAATTTTAAAAATCATAAATTTATGTCGTACAGTATTGCGTGGTGTAGAGATGTTGACATCAAAACTATCGATAATATGTACATCAACAAGGTATAGACCACCAACCAATGGTTCTGATCCATTCATATGATCTTTCTAATGATATTTGAGACTTTCTGAATGAGTTATATCAACATTACCTGGTTGAATTATATTGCGTCACAATTATTTCAGTTTCAAAAATTGCACTTAGTAAGTAGACTATATGTTAAAGTTCAAATATATGTATATATTTATATACACCATAAAGATTATGTATCCCAGAGAGGATGGCTTGTTAATTTTGATTATTAGATATAGATATAAATGTATTTGTGATTGGATTTTTGCTTTTAGTTTCATTAAGTTTTGATTCTTCTTGAACGAATGATTTTTAATAATTTTAAGGTTGAAGACAATAAACCTTCTTTGAAATAAAACAAGAGAGCAACGGTTAGCACACTTTGACTTAGTTTGTAGAAAAAACCATTGAACAATCCTGCAATACCTTCTTTTTTCAATATTTCAAGAACCAACGAAGAACTGCTTTCGCCTTTGGCCGATGAAGATGTAGACATATGCATTCTTGTCTTTAACGTGATATATGGATAAGTTATACTGGTGGCAGCTATTTTACCGATAGCCCCCAAGATAAATGCCCAATTGGCTGACAGATTTCTTTTCTTACCAACTTGGGAATTTAAAACTATAATTTTCAATTGTTCGAAAATAGTATACTGAATAATCGGGTTTATTACTAAAATCAAAGCAGGTTTCAACCCGTTGAATAAATTCTGAGCACCTTCTTTAGCTACAATATTTTTAATCGTCCTTAAAGTACTGACATCTGATTTTTTCAAAGTAATCCTTGTATTAGCTACCCAAACCGGATTTGTAGCCACTGCAGTAATGACACCAGCGATGGCCCCTGTCATCATGGTATTCGTTGTAGATAATTGGGAAACTTTGTTCAACATCTTAAAATATTTACCAGTCTTTTCATAGAAATAATAGTAGATAAAATTCGTCACAGTCATACCATAAAGTGCACTCTCTAAACCCGAATATAACCCTAGAACCCCATCCTTAGACAATATATCCAAGATAACCCTCTTAGCAGTCAACTCATCTCGTTCTTTACCATCTTCATTGTTTTGTAACTTCATTGTTATCGTAGAAAGAGGATAAGTTACAGACAGAGCTAAGGCACCCCCAGCTGCACCAGCCAAAGCATGAACCAATGGATCAGCAGAATCAGACATTACAAACACCTCGATATCACACTAAACTAGCAACAGAATACCCACCAGCTTGCCCTTTAAACCTCACAACTATCAAAACTTAAAACCATAAGTTGTCATTCCAGTTCAGCCTGTCTCTTATATACCTTTCATTAAAGGGAACAAGGATCAATATGACAGGAAAGAGAGATCGGAGTTTAGTAGATACCAAACGGCTGAACACAATCAAATGGTATAAAAGGTATAAAAGACAGACCAACTTGACAGTAGATCGATGTTGTTATGACCTGTTCTTATCGGTAGATCCGATCTGATCTGGCTTGGTTGTGTTGGTATGTGTGTGATGAGCTGCAATTGCAATGTTGGTGTGGGTAGTTGGGCTATAAGATGATGAGACTTAGAATGTTAGAGGTACACACAAAACAGGAGCAAGAGGTTTACAAAAGCAAGGATGATGAAGATGAAGAGGACCAGGTTGCAATGGGAATCGATACTCTTGGGGGGGAGGGGGAGGGGGGGGGGGTGAAGGAGGTTGTTGAAGCATGATGATGGTGACAGAGAATGTGGGGTCTTTGAGGAGGAAAGGCTTCAATCTTAATAGAGGTCGATGGAATGGAGTGTCTGTGAGTTTTATATTGAGTCCAATTGGTATTTGTCAATGACAGAGAATGAGCAAATAGTGGAATAAGTGTTTTGTATGTTTGTCTTGCTCTTTTCAATATCTTAATTTATTCTATTCTAAGTTGTGTCTTGCTTGTAACTGTACTGTCGGCTTCCAATGGAGCAGGAAGGGGAAAGACGGCTGTTGCGATACTTGTCAAGCATGTGTTGGATCTGCACAAGTATGGTATGTATACCTGTGTATCAATAATCAACTACTAGGGAAGTAGGAACCAGAAGCCCACATGGATCACGTGATGTCAGTATATATACACACCGGGTAACCGACGTCTCCGTCCCTTTATATCATCACTACGAACGAGGTGATGCTTTTCCCAACTTTTAAATGTTCAGTGCAATTTTAATAGGAACGCATCAAGTAAATATTAAGTTACTGGTTATCATATTAGAAGGCTTTGCCAATAAAGATGTTGAAATTGGTCTTTAAAAACTTCTAAACCTACACTACAAGCATCTGGAATAGGAACTGTAGGCTACTGTGGAGAGCTGGAGCTTTTTGTCCTTCATTGATATGTTGAAAGGACCGTACCATTTAGTGGATACCGATAGACCCACCACGCCTAAAAGTTCTATAGTTAATAATGGTAATACAAAGAGTAACAATAACAATAACAATAACAATAACAATAAAGACAACATCAATACCAGTAATAAAATTAAGAAATTAAATGGTGTGGCCAATGGTGTTAGCTCTGCTTTGGTAGAGGATCGGACCCTGAGAAGAGATAATGTTCATTTTATTTTATCTGCTGAGTTTGATAACAAACTGGGGCCAAAGGTAAAATTTCAATATCCTAACAGTATCCCTGGATTTCCTTCTTCTCTTCATGGTGCTCATAGTTTGGATAGTACTATAAATTTAGCGAGTTTAATGATTCCTAATAATGTAGAATATACTCCAGGGAAGAAAGATTTCACTGTCTTCATGTTATATTACAATACCAGCACCAAATTATACCAACTTTTCAAACCAAGTAATATTAAAACTGAAGTTCAAAAGAACGATAATGATGATAATGATGATGAAGAAAATGAAGATGGAGATGGGGATGATGATAGTGAATATATAGATTCTGAAATTTTTACCGATGCAAAAGATGAAAATGATAATTTGGATGATATAGATACTTTATATTTTATCAATGTTGTCAATACCGTTATCGATAAGAATAATGATCGTGGTGCGGTTATAAAATCTATTTCCCTGGGGACAACTTTAAAAATTTTCAGTATATTTAGACCAGTACTATCAAAATTATTAGTCCAGTACATGAATAACTCTCAAAATTCATTAAATATTTTAATCGATTGTTTTAAAATGATTAATAGTTTGGATTTATCATTGATTAATAAAATTCATTCCAAGAAGTATGCCCAATTGATTTTAGGTTCAATTATAGAAGAAAAATATCAATCGAAAGTTTTGAACCCAAATAATGAAGAATTTAAGAAGATTTTCAAAATTAAAAGATTATTTACAAATGACCATTTTGGTAATAAAATATCATATGAAAATAAGTATATCACATATCGATTTACTAATTTCAGGTCAAATTTTTTAAATAAAGACATCTTAAATCAACAATTAAGAATTCCTATTATCGCAGATGATTCCTTGGGTTCTTATATTATTTATAACCAGAAAATTTTGAGATTCTTGTCAAAGTTTTACCCATTTATTAATAAATTGACATTACAGAACTTTTCATGGAGGTTAATAATAAATTCAACTACTTTCTCAAAAGATGAGCTTTCCCATTTTATTTTGGTTCTTTCAAATTATGTTAACTCATGTTTTGATTGCGATGCCACAACATATTATAAACAGAATTCTATTTTAATTTTCCCATACATGGACATATCAATGGTCGATGCTTTAAGGAAATATTTGAACGATAAATCAGGTAATATTTCAAATAAATTTGCAATCATTGGTGTTGCAAACCCGATTTTTAAATATCAACAAAATCTATGGGATTGTTACTATGATCTCGATACAGAAACCTTGTATGATTCAATTGAAGTCATCGAAAAAGAAAAAGCAGACTTACAGTTAAAAAATAGACCACTACAAAGAAATGGTTCTCTTTCTATAAGAAAAATATTGCTAAAACCAGCAGATGTGATAATAAATACTTCAAAACTTTCTCATCAAAGAAATAGTTTGCTGCTAAGATGTGTAAAATTCCTATTAACTGATGACAGGGATTACAATACATCTACTATAACTAGCGTATTCAAGAAAGTCAACTTATTACAACTTGTAGAATTATTACGCAGAAAAACAAAAACGTCCTCAAACTCAATTTCCCTCCAAGATGAGTATATGGCAATCTATAAGGACCTAATTTTATTTCCAGTATTTTTTGAATATTCCTCATTATACCTAATCGAATTAATAATAAATTTGCATGAATCGATTGAATTACTATATTCAAATGACATTCTTCCTTTTCAAACTATCATAATACAGCTGACGAACATTAAACAAATTCTAAAAAAGCTCTATCACGATATATCATACAATAGAAGTAATATGGAAAGGTTTTTAAATCTTATATATAACCTTCCCTCTCTGAAGATTTTTGATAACTTTAATTTACAAAGGCATGATTTTTCTGCCAATGACTTGGAGAGATCAATGGAACCACTTTCTCAAAATAATATATATGCAGATATGGAGAATAGAGTAAAACTTTTGAGTAGCTCATGGATTGAAGTTTTTATTAATTCAAATGTTTTACCATTATTCATTATACCATTATTTTTTGAACCCAATTGTTCTTCAAACATTGATTTGTTTACCAATTCGTCAAGATGGTCTCGTAGGCCATCTATAGGCGGTAAAGCAAAACTTCCTAGATCTCTTTCATTTAAAAAGTTATTCCCAATAAATTCAAATCCTACAGCAGGTGTTTCAGCAAGCCACGTAATGTCAGCATCTCATTCTTCTAAAAATGAAGAACATAGTAAAATTATAACACCTAATTCGAGTCCAATAATTGCATCACCTATCCCTAGAACTCCTAACACAAATTCTGGTGGTCCTAGAATTACACCAAATACGTCACAATCTAATACGCCAACAAATGGCATAGAACTCGAAAATTTGGTTAACTCCTGTAGAAAACTATCTATACAAATACTTTATTGTATGAATAAGAATGCTCTAGGTGAGCTATTATTAGAAAAATCATCGACTACAGAAATAAAGAATGCTTATTCGAATGCAAAGATAGAGTTTAATTCTACACTGGTAGGAGATACTAATAAGAAGGAGAATGAAGTTAAAAAATCGTCACATATTAATAGAACTGACTTGATGAGAGAATTATCATTAATTGCTGAAAGAGAAGATGAATTTATGAATCTTGAAATTTCAGACAGGACGTGATGAGTTTTGATTCGTCGGGTATACTTTAATTACAATTGAGAAGATACAACATTAATATTTAGTAACATAATTGCTGGTCATATTATTTTTCAAAAAGACTTCATCTTATATATTACGATTTTTAATTAATTAGTTTTTAATATTTAATACCATAGATTACTAAATCAAAAATAAGAATAATACCTATTTACACATATGTACTTTAATAGTTCATTTTTTATAAGAACTATTTAACTTTTTTTTCTGTCGTTGAAGAGCTCTTTTTCTTAAACGTCATTTCCTGAACCATGAAATCAAGTTGCCTAGGTATATCATGAGTGTCTAATTGTACTTCAATCAATTGGATACAATTATTATCCTTCCCCTCTTTCAACTCTTTAAATTTTTCTGACAATTGTGACTTTTTATCGATAGTAACACATCTATTGAATTCATTATTTGGATCTCCCAAAACGTTTAGTAACTTGGTCCAATTCCAAGGCATAATATCATTATAAGATCTAAATGGACCTTCAATCGCTCTTTCAACAGTGTAACCGTTGTTATTCCATAAAAATATCTCCATTGGGATTTTATGTCTTAACATAGTAGTTAATTCTTGAACTGTCATTTGAGCAGCACCATCACCTTCCAATAAGATCAATCTAGGAGTATAATTACGAGCCAGAGAGTGATCATTTAGATGAAACTTTGGATAGTCTTTCATTGCAATACCCACACCTAATGCTGCTGGTAACGCCATACCAATTGATAAGTAGAAACCCTGTGAAATATATTTCAAATTTGATGGAAATTTGAAATCTTGTACAGCAAATTGGAAGGAACCGGTTTCACAAACTAAGACATCTCCTGGATTTAAAAAATTTGGAAGCTCCCTCTGCAAATGAACTTGCGTGATTTTTTCTTCATCCTCTTGTTGTAGAGGTAAAACTAATTCACTTGTATCATAAGATTTTACTGATTTATCATAATTAGTGTTGGCGTCATGAATATTGACTTTGGCAATTAAACCTTCCAAAATGTGTGTCATGGATACATTTGGATAGAAATCGACAATTTGGTTCTCGGTATCATGACATTTAGTGATTTTTAAATAATTAGGATTGATTTCAATTATTTGTGAACCTTTAGGAAACTTAAAAGAATAATTTCCCGAGTTCATTTCGTTCATTTCAAGACCAAAAATTAAAAAAATATCACATTTTAATATTTTATTGTAAACAGTAGTTAAGCCACCCAAACCAATATATGTACCCATATAAGCTTGACCTGATTCATCAATAACAGATTTCCCCATCATGGTAGAAAAATTCCAAAATTTTGTCATTTGAATAAAATCATTCAATAATTTGGTACATCCAAACCTATCGGTTAAGACATCACCAATAATAGCAGGGCTTTGAGAGTTACCGATTAAATCGATGATTTCATTTGTCAAATTATCAATTTTTTCCATGGGAGTTTTATTTAAACAGTCACTGAGGTTGATAGATGGCACATTAATCAAATTTTTTGATGACACCAATTTATTTGAAAAATCGGAAGGAATAAAAATATAGCCAGGCTTCGAATGTTTAAAGATTTGAACTATAACATCATCAATTTTATCACAAGAAGTTTCAATATCAGTCAAATATTCTGAAGCACATGATATTTTATCTTTAACCATTTGATAGTAAATTTTAAAATTCGGAGAATTAATATTAGGGAATTCTTTATCTGGAATTAAGTGATGAAGATTTTTGTATTTTAAATTTTCATCTTCAGATATGAAAGTCGGAGCTACACCAACTATATGTAATATTTTAATATTTTCAGCATATGAACCAGTTATACCATTTATGGCACTTAGCTCACCCACACCATACGTCGTTATTAAACAACCGATTTTATTGGTATATCTAGAATAACCGTCAGCCGCGTAACTTGCATTTAATTCGTTACAGCAACCAATCCAATTAATAATTTCGTCACCATCTTTATTATATAAAAATTCTAACAAAGGTAAATTAAAATCTCCTGGCACACCAAAAGCAGATTTACTACCAATGGATAATAATCTTCTCACCAAATACTCACCTAATGGAATTTTTGGATAACCGTCATCTTTGTTAACATTTAGAGCAGGTGTCGTCATGGTTGGGATATTTTTTTATATTCTCCTTTTCAATAGAATTTTACAATAAGAAGGGACTATATTAGAAGGAATCAACTTTAGAATTACAAAGATGTAACCTGATAAGAGCTAAGGTATATTATATATATATATGTTTATGAACGACGTAAATTTATATAACCTGGGGTAAAAGATTCAGAATTTTGCAAGAATACTTCAGAATTTTGAGAAATATCTTGTCAGTTTTTATAATAGCCAAAATTTCAAACAAAATTTAATTAAAATCAGAAATAAATACATAACTACAATAGCCACTTAAGTTGTTGATGGTCATTCATTTAAACTTTTTTTTTACTGTTTGATCAATTTCTATTTATTATCGAATTAATATAAAGATGATGTAAAAAGAGGGATTACTGTTACAGTAGATATACAAACCAATGGGTAGTCCCCTTTAAGTACCGTCACTAACCATTATTAACCGTCAAACTAATCCTCCTTCAATCCACTTCGAAATTAAAACGAAATTCGAACTTGACAATATGCCATTTCCTAGTTAGGAAAGAGTCCCGACTCAACATTTTATATTTCTCTGGATTTCGTTTGTAATTTTGAAATTCGCGGAGTTATAAAAAAAACGTACATTTCAAGTTAGGAAAAAAAGGGTGCCATATTTTCTTTTTTTTTTTTTTGGTTTTGCCTCACTTCGAAACTTGTAAAAGTCCACGACACCAACGAAGAAACAGCCAAAAATAAAAGGAACAAACAAATAAACCTAACCAATCTCTTCTTGTTTTTTTTGTGTCACATTCTTCCCTGACGACCTGTTACCTCAATGGGAAATCTACACTAGGAACCAAACTCTTAATAGTGACCTTCCCAAAGGAATAGAAAACACCAAATTAAAGAAATTAATAATGAAACGAAAGAACATGTCTATACACAGCCAACATTACTAAAAGATTGACATCCATACAACATGGATGAACGTATTATCATATAAAATAGAGTACTCTTAATAATTTATGGATAGTTCGACGAGATTTCTATAAAAGCACATAAATTATACTCAAGCAGAGGGACAAGAATTGATCAATTTGAAACTCAATCTGTTAACCTACTAATTGATCTTTCCAAATATACTTTAATAATATGAAGTATGAAATACTAAATGTTAATACAAATGGAATCACGTGATGGCAGTTCATCACTTTACCACATTTTTTTTCTCTTTCGCTCTTCCTAATTTTCTTGACCTTTTGTATTTGACTCTTTCCACTTTTAGAAAAATACGTAGAGAAGGCCTGGTTCTTACTAAACTTTTGGAAAAAGTTAAATGAACTTCTAATTAATTAAGTGACTTCAACTAATAATGCTGAGATGACTACAGACATTTTTTCTTTCATTGTTAAATAGAATATGCAACTTCAAGAGTATATATATTACTGGAACTCTCTTATTTAAAATCTATATTTGCTATATACATTGCAAAACACAATTGGGAGATTTCTCTAGTTCCAAAAGCAAAAAAATCGATAGAGATCACCAAATAAGAGGATATAGATCATATATATATCTTAGATATCGACATTTAGGGTAGAGAACAAATAAAAGAAATCTTGAAAAATCATGGATTCAAAGACTATTGGTATTTTGGGTGGTGGCCAATTGGGCCGTATGCTATTAGAGTCTGCCAATAGATTAAATGTTAAAACTATAATTTTAGAGCAAGGTAACAATTCTCCTGCAAAACAGATCTCAAACTCCACAGAACACATCGATGGTTCGTTTAACAACCCTAAGGATATAGAGAAATTGGCTTCAAAATGTGATGTCTTAACTGTTGAAATTGAACATGTTGACGTAAACACTTTGTTTAGTTTAACTGAAAAATTCCCAAATTTAAAAATTTATCCTTCTCCAAACACAATTAAATTGATTCAAGATAAATATTTACAAAAGAAACATTTAATTGATAACAATATTGATGTTATTGAAAGTTTGGCAGTAGAATCTTCAGATTCTCAAACTTTATCAAGAATTGGGGAGTCAATTGGTTATCCATATATGTTAAAGTCAAGAACTTTAGCTTATGATGGACGTGGAAACTTCGTTGTTAAATCAAAAGATGATATAGACAATGCTTTACAATTCTTATCCGATAGACCTTTATATGCAGAAAAATGGTGTCCATTCGTGAAAGAATTAGCAGTGATGGTAGTTCGTTCCTCAAATGGAGATATCTTCTCTTATCCAACTGTAGAAACTGTTCATGAAGACAATATATGCCATTTGGTCTACGCTCCTGCAAGAATCCCTGATTCAATTCAGTTGAAAGCTAAACTTTTAGCCGAAAATGCTATTCAAACTTTTACAGGTGCAGGTATATTTGGGGTAGAAATGTTTTATTTGTCATCTGGTGATCTTTACATTAACGAAATTGCACCAAGACCTCATAATTCAGGCCACTATACAATCGATGCATGTGTCACCTCACAGTTCGAAGCCCATCTGAGATCTATTTTGGATCTACCTATGCCAAAATATTTTACATCCCTTGAGACTTCAATGACTAATGCAATAATGCTAAATGTTATTGGCGATAAAGGAGTTAAAGATAAAGAATTAGAAACTTGTAAACGTGCATTGGAAACTCCTAATGCTTCTGTGTATCTATATGGTAAAGAATCAAAACCAAAGAGAAAAGTTGGACACATAGTAATGGTGTCATCTTCCATGGAAGATTGTGAAAGGAAATTGAATTATATCTTGGGTAACTCTTCTAAACTTTCAATATCTGATGAACAATTTTTGAAGGGAAGAAAACCCTTAGTTGGCATTATAATGGGTTCTGATTCTGATCTCCCAGTTATGTCTGCAGCATGTAAAGTTTTGCAAGATTTTGATGTCCCATTTGAAGTTACTATAGTTTCTGCTCACAGAACTCCACATAGAATGAGTAAATATGCTATTGAAGCAGGAAAGCGTGGTATTAAAACAATTATTGCAGGCGCAGGTGGTGCTGCACATCTTCCTGGTATGGTGGCAGCCATGACACCACTTCCAGTAATAGGTGTTCCTGTTAAGGGCTCCACTTTAGACGGCGTTGATTCTTTACATTCGATTGTCCAAATGCCAAGAGGCGTACCTGTCGCAACTGTTGCAATTAATAACAGTACCAATGCGGCTTTACTTGCTATAAGAATGCTAGGTTCATTTGATACAATTTATTATGAAAAGATGCAATCATTCCTTCTAAAGCAAGAAGCAGAAGTTCTAGAAAAAGCTGACCGTTTAGAAACGATAGGCTATCAAGATTATTTATCACAAATGAAATAAATTAGAAATATTCAGTATATAGATAGTAAGTTTAACTTTATTAGAAAAACGGATACCTAACAGTTAATACCAGCAAATATTCAATTATAATAAAACAAGTATATAATGTATAACACAAACTCCAATATTTTGTGACCCAGGTTACTAAGTTTCCAAGTATCGAGTGTTCAATATTTGACAATTACTAGAGAAGATCATAGTTGATTTAATTATCCATTAGATATAATTTAGAATATTAGTAAAAATTAGAATAATGTCATTAATATATATTAAGTTTAGAATTATAATTATATATACCCTAATTTGATATATTTAAAAAAATATACCTGGGTTTTATGCTTTAAATGTCTATTTTTCAATCAAATAATGATTGATTATTATGTAGAATGAATTCAACAACGTAGTTTCTTTCAGCCATATCAACAATATCTCTTGAACCATCATAATCTCTTATCAAACCTGGCGCAAAGACTAATGACAAGTTATGCAATGTCATTAAATTAGATTCACTATACTTTGAGATTTTGATGATATGTTTCGATAAATCCCTTAATAGCCCATAATGTTCTGCTGGCAATTGATTCAATATCTTAATTATTGAACTAAAAACGTAGTTGAACAGTGGATTGTTCCGTAGATTAGATGATAATTTTGCAAGGGGTAATTCCGATAGCAAACTTTTATCTCTAACAAGATTTATCAGAGAATCATATATGTCGAAGGTTAAAACAGGATCTGGCAAATTTCGTAAGTAAAACTTCAAAGTACCAGCAACTGCATGAATATCCTCTGCCATCAATTCCTGTAGCTTCACAGTTGGCTCTGATTCTATCAATGAGAATTCTGATTTGATACTTTCAATTAGTAATTTGGAACCAGATTTTCTATAAATACCCTCAGTTCTTAAGTTAAATTCGTCTTCTTCAATGAATCTAATACAAATGGCAATCAAATTTGGTATTTTCCTCGCTTCAAATTCACATCTCGATACCAAAGAAGAACCAAATAAAATCTCACCTCTATCAAAATCTGGATTTAACTGTTTAATATCAAAGTTCTTCATATGCGTCGTTTGAAGATTTAAATCGCCATCCTCTGATATGTTCTGTAGCATTGGGTTAGATATTTCAATTTTATTCCTAGAATTAATATTCGTTGCTACCATAGAAATAGGAGTTATACCACCACTTATTTCTGTTTGAGTTTTGGATTGAGGTGCCAATTGTTTACCACCGCTAAAAATTTTCCAAAACTTAGGCTTTGCTGCAATTCTAGCAATACTTGCAGTTGAAGTGTAACCTGAAGTTTTTGACCCAGATTCATCGTCTGTTTGAGATGAGAGAGATGTTCCAGACGGTAATCCTTCATGAATTACCGGTCTTGTGTCTGAAAGAAGATTATCTTTAGCAGATTGAAGACTTTCTACATCTTTTCTCAACTGAAGTTTTGTTTCTTCAAGTTCCTTAATTTGTAGTTGAAGTTTCTTTAATCTGAACTCTGATTCTTGGATATTGATATCAAGTAAATGCTGAGTCTTATTCAAGGAACTAATCGTTTTTATAGATTGACTGCTGTCACTACGTGAATTATTCTCATGAGGATGTATGATATTGTTAGGTTTCATTGTAACATTATTTCCTTCATTTCCTTTGGTTTTATGGTTTGAAGTATAATTAGATGTACTAGAAGATCTAGAGACATTGTTTAAATTCGATGCAGATGAATTTTTGTTTCGTTCTTTATTTTTAGATAAAGATCTATTAACAGCAATTTGTTCCTTCCCTGACATTATCGAATTGTTTCTTGAATCGATACTACTGGATATAGAAGCATTTCTTTGAAGTGATGCAGATGATGGTTGTAATGCAGGCTCAATTGGGGAATTGTTTACAATAGCGTTATTTGATTGAAGGATATCTGTTGGTTTATTTGATTCTTTAATTACAAAAGGAGGTGTCAATGGTTTTGCCATGGTAGAATATTCACCCTTTTGAATTTGCTGGTTTGGATCTAATATGCTAGATGATTTTGCCTTCGTGCTTGTTATAATTTTTGCTTTCCACGATAAAGATCTTTTCAAAGAATTTGTAGTTGAACTTAAATTTACATTTGTATTAGAAGTTGCATTTGCATTAGAAGTTGAAGTTGAAGTTGAATTTGATATTTTTTGTAATGGATTACTATTGTTATTAGAAGAGTGATCGTAAAATGAAAGAGGACGAAGAGGCTTCTTTGGAGATATATCAGGGTTCAGGATAGGCGAGTTTCTAATATTGACATCTCTGTCAGTCAAAGGCACGTCTTTGTTATGCACAGGGTTTGAGTCTGATATTGGATCCGAATTGTTAAATGCAATCGGACTTCCAAATTTTAAAATGAATTCATCGGTTGCGTCAGATTTTGGAGTTTTAGAATTTGGAGATGAAACAATCTCACTGCCTTCGTTTGAATTATATGATTTACTTTCAATATCCATATTAGACATGACAGAATTTCTATCTGATGAGCCCGATGAGGTATTCTTTAATGGAGTTTTATTCAGTAACATTTTGGAATTTGGAGCCAATGATGTATTCATCAAACTAGAATCTGTGTTATCATCATTTTCCAAAGTTATATCCAACATATCTTCGATAGATACAGAATCTTTTATATCTGTACTTTTTTCTGGGGTTTTTGTCACAGATGTATCGTTTGAAGGAGGTATAACATTATAATTCGTTAATGATTGTAATCCATTCATTGTAGATGACCTTACCAACGAGGATGTAGTGGTTCTTGAAGGTTGCGAAATTTCACTTTCAGTAAAAGAACTAATATCATTTTCTTCCGGAATAGACGTAATAGGACTCGTTTTACCTTGCTTTACTGTCTGAGGTAAACTGGGTAATTCTTTTTTCATCCTTCTCTTTCTTTCGTCGTACATTTTTTCGTTTCATTAGTAACTTTTCATGACACACTAAACAGAACAAACCCTTTTTTGTTCTTGCATACCGCAAATCTTCTATATTATTACCACATTTACAACATTTAAAACAGTCAGAACAATACGCTTCATTTGATGAAGAAAGGATGATAGCCAAATCATCAATTTTTTTACCACATTTTTTACACGAGTCTGAGCAATCGAAACAGATTAGAGTACCATTTCCCAGTACCAAGAAATCTGAATCACAACTCAATGGTTTTTCACATCTATAACACGAGAAACAATGTGTGTGCCATCTATCATCACCCAACTCATAAGCATGTCCTGTCACAATTAATTCATTACACCTGACACATTCTGGCAAGTTAGAATCTATATTTGCCATGACTGTCACAGTTTTATTATAAGTACAATTTCACTTTCCTAAAAGGCTAAAAACAACAACAACAATGTAATATGGATAGGGGAAAGTATATGATATGTAAAGATATAGTTACAACTACTAAAAAGTATTTCGATAAAATCAAACTTTGCCTTTTGTTCCCCTATTTGAAATTAAGTGTCAACAATCTTCGTGTTTTGTAGTAGCGTAAATCAAAGCCACTATATGAGATATGAGACGGAAGAATGAAGTCTTCCTTGAATTAAGGTATCTTTTGTTATGAATCCTAATTCCAATCTCTGCTAGTCCAAATCAAATATCGCACTCGTTCTATATATATATATAGATATCTGATCCTGCAGTCATAAAAATTCGATATGTTTTGTTTTATTTTAATGAATTGTAAATTAACTTGATCTGATACTACCCCTCAAAGAGTAAATTACACTAGCCAGCAACCCTATTAATTAACTAAAGGACCATCTGTTTTCAAATACACCATTGTTTTAAATTAAGAATTATTTAACCCATTTCTTACCTGATACATTTATAGATCAGGAATTTTTTGAAATTTTCCATCGAAAAATTGAAATTTCGAATTTTTTCCGTTTTAAGAAATTATAGGTTCGAAATCGATTTGAAGAATAAAAGCATCTAATAATAGATATATAATACGGTTACTCAATTATTATTTTTAGGTTAAATCAGGTTAAGAATGTAATATGAAGAGCAATGGTTAATGTTGATATATATAGATAGATTTATATAGGTAGATATAGAAATGTATACATATATAGTAGATAGTATAAATGTGCTAATTATATTAAATTTATGGTGAGGATAAATAATAAAATGGATTAAACAAGCACACTTACACAGTCAACATGTGACCATTATAAATTAGCCCTAAATGATCGAATATTTGGAAAGGGTAGAATATATAAAATTCTTTGATTTCTTTGAAGTAAATTGAAATAAGATGGAGGATGGACCATATATATACACTTTAATGTTTCATGACCAAACGGTACTAATAACAAAAAAATTGGTATATCCATGTCATCTTGAGAAGTGGAGGGGAGGGAAGCACGGTAAACGTTAATAATAGTAATAGTAATAGTAATAGTAATAGTAATAATAATAAAAAAAAATAATTATATATGATAACACCAAGTTCATGTATGATTATGATTATATCTTGGTGTTTTTCAATTGTTTTCTCTTTTCAATATTAACTTAAAATCAATGATGTTCATCATGCTTATGATGTCTTAAATGGAAATAGTATTCCATAGTGTAACCTAAAGTCAAAACAGCCAAAGCTAGATGTAAGATTGGTTTACCACTAGCGTTGTCACCATCAAAAAATTTAGCCTTGTATCTACCAATGACACCACTTGGCTGTTGTTGAACAGCTTTACCTTGTGGTAAAGATTGGTAGAACTTGACAACTTGTTCAATACGCTTAGCATTGGATGCACCAGTTAAGTTCTTTGGAGAAACCACCTTTGGAGGAATCAAAGTGGATAAACCACGCTTGGCCACTATAGATCTGAACATAATCCAACAATTATTTTTTCTTTCAAATTAGTTTTATATATTTTCAAACTTGTTCTTTAGTAAGTAAAAACAAGGATAACAGAATTGAAAAAACTTTCTTTAAAAACGTCAATCTAGGAACTAACTACAATATACAACAAAGTGAAAAATATATATAATCAATGCTTAACAAATGTCAACCTTTAACCATTATAAAAACACTTTAAAATCACAATAATTATAAGGAGAGAAACACTAACGAAGGTAGTTTGTCGATTAGTTATTGAGCTAGATTTAATTTTTCTCTAGCAATAATACATACAAAATACAAAATACAAAATACAAAATACAAAATACAAAATACAAAATACAAAATACAAAATACAAAATACAATATACAATAGTATGGTATGGTATAGTATAGTATAGTATAATATATAAAGAGGTCTAAGCAGAAAGTAGCAGAGTAAGTGAGGTAGGAAAAAAAAAGTTTCCAATTTTCCAAGAGAAATGGCGGAGGGATATCGCAAATTTGTCGAAGAAACAAAAACTAGCATCCATTTTGAGAGGGGCAGGGTAACATGCTGGAGGAGACTCCATGTGAGAACATATGATTGGACAGCGTGCACGTGATGGAATGGAAAAAAGCGATATGAGAAAGTGAAGGGAAAGCAGCAGCTCGTGAGCCGGGTAAGTGTCCTGATGGCCGGGGATTGTAACTATTTACGGGGAATTCAGGTGTCTTTTTTTTATTTTTTTATTTTTGTTTATTCAAACAAATTAGGGAAAAGTCACCTTATTGTCATTCTCAGTCTGGCGGTCGTGACGTTTCAGGCGATCCAGTCTTTTTTCTTTTCTTTTTCTCTCTCGTTCTCCTCCACTTCCTCTGGGTGTGTCATGACAGTCTTATCTTCTATTCCCCACTGTGACCATCAAAGAAAGACTGATCATTCAAGATTCCAAGATGCCCAGATAACAACACTAGCAATAACAATAACAATAACAATAATATTGCGCTAATTAATTTAATGACACAAAAACACAATACACAAAAATAATAAAATAGCTTGGTTTCAGAAAAGTATAAAAGGGACACATCTTTCCAAAGTATTCCCAACTACTCTATCTCCCGCCAATACCACTTTTATCAAGATCTTGATAATTCTTATAATTTTCTGTTAGACAGACACTAGAGCGGTTTGGTACCAGTTTCAACTAAACTCTAGATAACTTGGTGACTACAATGGGAAGGTAGGTAACTCAAGACAACCACAGACACAATTCCATTATGTTATA